AGCCGTGGAAACAAGTTGTGTAAGAATCCAACCGCTTCCTTAGTTTTTGACCTAAGTGGCAGGCTGGAAAATCATTCTCTTAGATATGACAATGGGTATAGAGGAGCATGTCGCGTGAGGATGGCTTCAGTTTGAGAGAGCTGAGCAGTCTAAAGACCCTCCAGGAGGAAGCTGCAGCAGGCCCAGGATGGACCATTTGGCCCAGTCTAGGGCACTGCCAGTTGTGTGATGGAGTTACGGAGGCATCAGTGAGATCATCTGGCAGTGGATGAGGAGGGAAGGGTAGAGGCTTGAGGACACTGGACCCCACAGAGTGGAAGGGAATGTCTCTGTCCTCCAGGGCCGAGATAAACAAGAGCCCAGGCCTTCACCACAGCTGCTCACGACGGCCTCTGAGGTCAGCTGGAGCCTTGGAATTATTTTAGCCTAACAGCCTGTGCCTGAGCCTGGCTGGGGCTTCTGGCTTGCTTGCGGACAGCTGGAGGGGTTTCCTCTGGGATTCCCTTCTCAGGGTGGCCTAGGATCAAAGAGACGACCTCTTTGCCTCAGGGTCACACCCAATTCCAGCTCAACTCTGGATGTGCCTTCCTCTCCCTCAGGCACGAACAGAAGCTGAGGTCCCACCATCCACAAGTGATAGTGCTCTCAAGTGTCCCTGGGTGGACAGCCTTCAGTGTGGCACTGACAGGCTGGAGGCTACGTCCTCTACAGATACCCCAGCGGATCTGCCTGGATGGAAGATTTAGTTTGCCAGCCTTGACTGCCTGGATGCCAAGGTCTATGCTCCACTCAGTCCTGGTGTGCAGAATTCACCCAACTTTGAGATGGAAACTGCACCCATTTTATAGATGAGGAAACGGAGGCTCAGAGAAATTAGGTGACTCAACTTGCCAGAAGTGGAGTCTGCCTGTGTCTACAGTGGACAAACGTCTGGGTTGAGACCTGAGTCTGAGCTAGCTGTTTGTCTAATGTCCTGTTCACTAACTTGGTCACACCTGAGTTGATGGGGTATGTGTTGTTTGTGGGGGGGTGGGGAGCACGCACTCGCTTGCTCGATCGAGAGTGTGCACACCACTGATGCCCGCTCCCTGTGCTGAGATCTCCGGGACTCCCCTTGAGACCACAGGAACAGTGATGAATTAATCTCATCACTTTATCAAGGAGGCACTTACAGAAATTACAAGGCGAGGCCACCAGCCTGGTTTTGCTGGCAGCCAGCCGCCAGGCCCATAAAACAAATTGAAAGGAACAAAATAAATAAGTGAAATTAGAAATACACACAGGCGCACACACATGCACACCCTGAAAGGTCAGGAGCATGGTCCCACACTCACTGTTAGCCTCAGGAAGCACTCTTGCCCTGTCCAATTGGCTTAGGAAGATGGCAGGACCAAACCCACCCATGCTGTGACCCCGCCCCCCTCCATTCTGAGGAATAACCTGTGGCTCACCCTCACTCAAGGGGTGGCTGGCTGCAGGGTAGCGGAGAGCAGAGCACAGCCGTCAATTCCCAGGCTGCTTCTGCCAGAGTTGTGCTATCCCTTCTCATTCGTAAAAACTTTCAAACAAACAAACAAACAAACCTTCACTGTATAGCACGTCTCATTCTGGTCTCTGATCTTCCTAAAGCCTCAGCCTCCTTGTGGCTGGGATTACAGGCATGCACCATTATTCCTGGCTCTCCTCTGTAAGATGGGGAGAAATTGGCTGAGTTAAAGACTTAATCTACGTTGAGCAGACATGCAGCTGCATCACTGAATGCTTGGTTATTTAGTGGTTAGTGTGCTCCGGGAACCTACTGTGTGTGAGTCAGGTCGTCAGGTATTTGGACTGTCAAGAGGAACCGGCCTGCATGGAGGAACTAGACAGGACATGGATGGTAGGGCAGCATGGGGTGGCTGGCAGAGAGAAGCAACACCTCCCCAGAGGGCACTTGGTGAACTTGCCTGTGTTTGCCAGTTCCAGGAACTGGGGAGTTGGAGGGGCTCAGGCTGTGGGGCTCAGGCTGTGGATGGTGTGAAGATGGTGGGGTAGGTTACAGGTTACAGAGCCTCTGAGAAAACACACACAGGGCACAGATGCACTCGCTAAGCCTGTGTGCCCCTCTCTTGTTTATCTTTGATGTTGTCATGTTCATCCAGGTGTAGTGGACGACATCTGTAATCCAAGACTGAGGAGGCCAAGGTAGGAGCATCCCCGAGTTTGGGGCCAGCCTGGGCTACAAAGTGAGATGTCCTCTGGTCTCTGAACATACACTGTGGGCACTCGGGACTCACACATGCACACACACACACACACACACACACACACACACACACACACACACACAAATGCAATACAAACGCACAAAGAAAAGATTGATTAGGTGTAATGAGAGGTCACAAGGGTCTCTGAGGTCCCTTGGTGTGAGCCTTGGGGACTGTGGCAGTGTGGTAACTTGGGCCCAGCAGTGACACTGCTTCAGAGCCCTTTATCATTGGTGGCCCACAGTTCATGCTCTGCTCTAGGAGACCTGGCAGCGTTTCCATGTCCCACCCTGGGAGGCTGTGGCATGGGTGCCCTGGGACACTTACCTCCCCTTCTGGGTTAGTAACAGAAGCTTGTCTTTGTGAGTGAGGCGCTTTCTGATTTCTTCAAGCTCCGTGTGAGGTACGGGGGAGCTCACATAGGGGGCTCTGGGCATGAGGTGGTTCCTTTTGGCTTCCCGAGTCTCCGTTGCTTGGTCTCTGAGTTGGGCACTGATAGGCCAGCTCAGAGTCACGAGAACTGACTCAGAGGCAGCACATAGTAGGTTTACAATAAACCCTAGCTATTACTACTGTGAGTGAGATGAGGACCTGGTGCCTTCTGTTTTTGTTTTTGTTTTTCTAATACCAGGCTTGTGGGCACACAGTCCACATTTGTTAAATGAAGAGAGGGGACTCAGGGTGGACACTGTCCCTGTTTTCACAGAGACGATGGCTTTGTAAAATAAGCCCCTCATGTGCCGAAGTGGTTTGCTGTTCCGTCTTAATCTTTAGAGACCGTCTGGCCACATAGCCCACATTGCCCTTAAACCGTTGAGCATCTTGCTTCAGCATTTCCAGTGCTGGGACTAATTGAGTGGGTTGCCATCCTTAAGCGATAGTTTCTTTATTTTCTTTCACTGCATTTGTGTGTTTTGAGACAGACTATGTTCCTGTGGCCCAGGCTGCCCTCTGATTACTGTTCTGTAGCTAAAGATGACCTTGGACTTCTAATCCCCCTGCCTCTACCTCCAGGTGTTAGGATCCCAGGTGTGCACCACCAGGCCGGGTTTATGGGCTGTTGTGTGTAGCACCCAGGACTTCATGCACACCGAGCAAGCACTATATCAATGGAGCTACGTTCCAGCCCCATTCTGTTTCCAAGATATGTGGTCCAGGCTGGCCTTGAACTGGATTTGTGGACAAGACTGACCTTAACCTGTAGATGTAATAGTCTTATTAAATAAGAATAAACCCGGAGCCAGATATTGGGGTGAATGCTGGAAGACCAGAGAAGCAGAGCAAACCACAGCCACCTCACCTTGCCAGTTCCTCAGCTGATCCTGTTTCCTCAGACTGGAAGCCTCTCAGTCCTCATCCAGAATGAATCTCAGCTGAACTGTGCTGCTCAAAAGCCTAAAAGTTTAACCAGCCAAAAGCTTCTAGTTTCTGGTCCTCACATCGTATATACCATACTGCTTTCTGCCATCACTTCCTGGGATTAAAGGCTCTTGTTACCACGCCTGGCTGTTTCCACTGTGGCTTTGAACTCACAGAGATCCAGGTGGATCTCTGCCTCCCAAATGATAGGATTAAAGGTGTGAGTGCCACCATTTTCTGGCCTCTGTATCTAGAGGCTGTTCTGTTCTCTGACCCCAGATAAGTTTATTAGGGTGCACAATATTTTGGGGAACACAATATCACCACATTAACCCCCTGATCTTCCTGCCTCCAGCTCACCTCCCAGGTGCTAAGATTACAGACAGTTTTCTGGCAAGCCTGATGACCTAAGTTCAATCCCATGAACCTCATGGTGGATGGAGAAAACTGACGCCCACCCGGGAAGTTGTCCCATGACCTCCACACACGGGGACTCATACTTCCCTCACCCCCCAGTATACATGCATGCACACACAAATAAATGAAAAGACAATTGTAGTCATAATAAAAATAAAGTGATAGGAATGCGCACTGTGATGCCTAACCTGGGCTACAACTGGTCTTTTTTTGTTTGTTTTAATTTCTGTCTGTCTGTCTATCTTTCTGTCTATCTTGAGGCAAGGTCTCTCTGTGAAGCCCTGGCTGTCCTGGAACTCACAGTGTACAACAGGCTGGTCTCAAACACACAGGGATCTGCCTGCCTCTGTAGGGATTAAAAGCATGCACCGCCTCACCCAGCCTAGGCTACAGTTTTTTAAAGTGACTTTCCACGTAAGGTTTTGTTCAACCCTTCCCTGAGGAACTAACAACTGTTTTGCAGTTGAGAGAACTAAGGCGAGGTGATGGGAAAGAGATTTCCTCAAAGTCGGGAGCTAGGTGGCCCGGCCCCCAGTGGGAGGCAGAGTCCACGCCCTGCCCAGGTTTTCCCTGGCTTTTCCTAGTGACAGGTGCTGGAAGAGCTGGGGTGGTCTGTGCTGATGCCCAGCTCAGCACCGTTGCTGGTTCTCCTGGCGTCAGATGCTGTCTCAGCATATTTTGATGTCACCCCCTCATCCCCCATCCGGTGGTTGTTAGAGAACCATTCTCAGGAGAATGATCTTTTCCTCCCCAGGTGGCTGCTCGGGCCACCCAGCTCCCAGGCTGGAACCGGCACGGGAGAGAATTGACGCATCCCGGAGGGAGGGCCACTTACGAGTCCCTGCTTCCAGCAGTACTTCCGTTGGCAACCCTGGGTGGGGCACATCAGCTCTGGCCAGCTAATCCCCAGTCAGCCTAAGGGGTTGGGGTCCGGGATGGACAGACAGCAGGCACCTGGCAACCCTCTCTGTGTTACAGGCAACATCGAGTACAGCTGTCCAGCCACCAACGAGTGTGAGATCACCAAACGGAGACGGAAGTCCTGTCAGGCCTGCCGCTTCATGAAATGCCTCAAAGTGGGGATGCTGAAGGAAGGTAAGAGGCCCCCAGCCGACTGCCAGGGCCAGGGCTCTGCTCGGTTTGTCATGGTGGGGAGTGTTAGGTCTGTGTGAGGATACCTATAGGCCCAGGGCCTCCCTGAGGTCAGTGTATGTGTAGGGGTGTGTGTGTGTTTGTGTGTGTGTGTGTGTTATCTTGTATCATGGCTGCCATGCTGTAGCCTGCTGGGCTTCTCTTGGAAAGATGTGGGCTAGTAAGGTAGAAGTCGGGAGGTCCCAAGGATCCTATTCGGAGTCTCAGCTGGTAGCTTGTCACCCAGGGAAGTCCTCATTTGGGCTAGGATGTCCCCCTCCCCCATCTTGGCAGGAGGACTTAGAACTCTTGGTGCTCCCTCGGGTTTGGGGGTGGGTAATGGCACACTCCTGGCTGGAGTATGAGGAGTGACCCTTGCTTCTGATGGAGTTCAGGACATGTCTCTTGCCTGGTAAGTGTTTCCCCACCCACCCCCGTTTCTCTTCTGTCTTGGCTTCTGGCTCTCCCCCCTGTTGCTTTTTCCTCTAGAGTCATTTGGTGCATTAGGTTTCCATTGGGTGCAACAGTCAGAAGTCACAAGCGACAACTGGGTTGTTTTTAGTTCCATCAAAAGGTGTTTTGTTTTGTTTTTAATCTGTTGGCCATTTAGCTTTTAATTTTTATGTGTGTGTGAGTTTCTACATGTGTATATGTGTATACCTGGTGTCAGAAAAAGGCATGTGATGCCCGGGAAGTAGTTGTAAGTTGCCATGTGGGTGCTGGAAACCGAACCCCGGTCCTAGATTGAATTGACTAAAGCATGGTGATATTAATATCGTGGCATCTTGTGCATCTTGTTTACTTGGAAAGTGGCCACTGGGAAATGTGAGACGGGGCTCATCGTGTGGAAGGCTGCGGCAGGGCCCTTCCTCACCACTTACCTGGATCTGCCTGGTTTGAATCTTGTTCAGTATCATTTTGGGAATGGTGTGTGTGTGTGTGTGTGTGTGTGTGTGTGTGTGTGTGTGTGTGGGTTTGCGCATGAGTGTTACAGTTGCACGTACACACACCACTGTCTGCACCTGTGACTCCCTCAGAGAGCCAGTGCGAATTCTTAATAGACCAGCTTCTGCGCCTTAATCCTTCCCGATGATGTGGAAGGAAACAGGAAGTTTATGGGGATGAGGAGCAGGACAAGCTAAGGAGAGGACAAAGACAGCTTGAGGTGCCGTCTTCCCGGGGAAGGGCAAGGTGGGGTGGCTGGTCTCCCAAACCTAGCTCAGCCTTTGGCAGGCCCGGAGCTTCCCCCCTCCTCCCTCCCCTGTGCCTGCTGGGGAAGTGTCCACCTCGGAGCTGTGTGCCTGTGAGAGAGCTTGGACAGAGCTAGGGAACATTCTGGGTGGTTCCTCTCCTCACCTGGGCTTAGTTAGCACCTGCACCTGGAAGCCGCAATCAGGACAGCCTCCAGCCGCCTCTTGGGTCCGCAGTGCCCTGGGCTGTAAGGTCCTGTCTTGGTTCCAGTTCTGTTGCCTTGATGAAGCACCAGGCCCTAAAGCAATGTGGGGAGGAAAGGGTTTATTGCTCATCACTGAGGGAAGTCAGGACAGGAACTCAGACAGGGCAGGAACCTGGAAGCAGGAGCTGAGCTGAGGCCACGGAGGGGTGCTGCTGACTGGCTTGCTCTCTCTATGTCTTGCTCAGCCTGCCTTATTACAGAACCTAGAACCACCAGCCGAGGGGTGGCACCACCTACAAGGGGCTGAGCCCTCCCCCATCCCATCGCTAATTAAGAAAATGCCCTACAGGCTTGCCTATAGCCCGATTTTATGGAGGCATTTTCTCAATTGAGGTTCGCTCCTCTCAGATTGAAGGGGTTCAACTCTCCCACTCTTTCAACTGAGTCTAGGTTTCAGTTCTCTGAGAAGGACAAAAACAGGTGTCTCTCCCCACAGAGGGCTGTTTGTCCACAACGCCCCTACATTTGGGATGAGGGGGTGGACAAACACAAGGTCTAGCTCAGCCTCACAGTGTCTCAAGGACAAACCCTGCAGCCCCCTTCCGAGTCACAAGCGTGTGCAGGGATGTCCAAAAATGATAAGACTCCACCTCAGCCAATTATAAGTATACTAGTATAACCGCTGCTTGCGTAACCAATTATGTATGAGATGACTTAACTGTCCCTAAAAACCCCCCTTAGCTGCGCTTAAAAGGAGCCATTTTGTACAGATGTTGACCCCTGCATGCTGGAATGTTAATAAATGTTCTTTGCTCTTACATACTATTGGGGCCTGGGGTCTCCTTCAGCGTTTCCTTGGACCCTTACAAGATCACTTTTAGCTTGTATCCACTTGACATCAAGCTGTCCAACACAAATCCCTTTTTCGTGTGTTCTTAACCCCTTTGGGGATGTGCCAGATGCTGTTTAGGGGCTCTGTGGAGGAAGCAGCCTCTTTTTGGTTTGAAATGGGCTGTGTTGGGCCTGCTGTATGTAAAACCGTGTTTCATTCTGCTGTCCAGTTTTGGTCTCGGTTGTGTGTAGGCGTGACCAAAATAGAGGTTGGACTAGGTCCCCTGCCTCCCACACCAGGCTCTTTCTGTTGCCGAGCTTCTTGGTGTTTTTGGATGAGGAGGCCCACAGAGGTATGCCTGCTTGGTCTCCTTAGTGTCCTCGGTGCTGGGAACCTGAGGGTGTCTGGGCTTCGAGGAGACTCCTTCCTCCTAGGCCCCAGAGATGGAACTGCTGCCGCCTTGTTCTGGAAGCTGAGGAGACACCAGGTCGGGCTGGAACCCACTGTGCAGAGACTCCCCGGCTGGAGTATGCCTCTCTGCCTGCTTTCTCGAACTCAGGGAATCAGAGGGAAAGGCAACCCTTTACGGTGATAAAAGGGGCCTGCAGGGGCTGGAGCGAGGTGTCTGCCACACCTTCAGCCACCCTCTAGCTTGACAGGATCAGGGCCCAGATCTGGATCTTCCTGTTGCATGCTCTCCCCCACACACTCCCCATAACAGGCACGGGATGGGGGGTTACCACTCAGTCCCCAGACAGTCGCAATGCACAGGATTCTCTTTCAGGGTTACCTAGCGCTGGGAAAGAGGAGGGCACTTTCTAGTGGTCCCCAGAAAGGGTCTCACCCATGACAGGAGAGGCATGACTAAGCACACTGAAGGGCAGTGGTGGGACATCCCTAGGCTGGTTCCTGGAAGAGAAGCCAGTAGGTGATGGGCGTCTCCAGTGGCAGGAGTAGGGTGCAGCAAAGGATACACGCCGTCCAACAGGGAGGACCTGCTCGGTGATCCCCAGAGTTGCCTCACCTCCAGGACTGGCTCCCCCCATGTCAGCCAGGTGTCCCCTGGGCTGATGGTGGTGTACTGATCCTGATGCAGCCATTAGGGAAGCTTTGCCTGAAGGAGGAAGGGAAAGTCATCAGGGCACACACCACCTTACCTCCAGTGCTGGCAAGCCTGTATCTGAAAGGGAAAAACGGACAGGGAACCTCCCGCGTGTGGGGGAAGCTGAGCTCCTGGCTCAGTGTGCATCCCCACAGGGCTCTGTGGTACCTGGCATCAGAAGCTCCATGGGGACCAGCCTCCCGGGAGGAGCAGGCTGCCTGCAGGCGTCTGGGTCCCTGCCAGGTAGAGCTCCTGGCGGCTGTCCCGGCTCCTGCTTTTGTTTGGGTGTCCCTTGCCATGTGTACAAGGTCTGGTCCCCAGGGCCAGCCCCGCCCATCCCCCTGCCCACTCCATGGCTGCCCCCCCTCCCATCTTCCTCAGTCTCTGACTTGATTCTGGAAACAAATCTCACACTTCCTGGTGCCGCTTCCTGTGTTAGGGTCTCACAGTCGGCTGGGCGGCGACAGGGGTTCCTGAGTCTTACAGGGAAGCAGGGGGCGTGAACACTCTTTTCCTCCCCACCATCTACGTGTCAGAACCTCATTACCCCCTTCTACCTAGCGGCTCAAGATGTCTCCAATAACTGTTTCTTAGTAAAATGGTCCATGCCGCTGATCCATGATTTAGGGGCTCCGGCCATGACTAGGGATGAAGTCAGATGTGTGGTGTCCTCCGACTCACGATCAAAGCATGTCAGGTGCCTCAAGTGGTTGGAGACTGATCCTGTTTTCCACATGGCTCCCTTCGACTTTGTCCCGTCTATGCTGGGATGACGGGAGCAGTCAGTGGCTGAAGGCAGTGTCCCCGCGTCTTTATGCAGATGCATTGTATGACAACTCACATTTTTAGGGAAAGGCGTCCTTTTCTCTGTGTGCAAAATCGAACTCAAAATCCGATGTGGGTTCAGAGCTGGCGACTGGCATTCTCTTTGTGGTTCTCATACTTAGTGCTCCCTGGACCTCCTTCCTTTACCTCCTTCAAGACCTGCTGTTCATCACCAGGTAAAGGTGAGGACCCAATGGGACAGCTGGGACATTGCCTTAGGGTCTCAGCAGCCCTATGGCAGCATTCACCTCGTGTTAGACTCACTCAGGTTCGCACATCTTTTCTACAGCTGCCCACTGAGTCGAGTGAGGCAACCTGGACCCATTGATCTTCTTCCTGGAGTTGGTGGTGGGACTCCAAGGAGGTGGCATTACCCTAGGCTGATCCTCTCTGAGTTCTGGAATCTGAATGGAATGAGATGGTCCCTGGCATCTCAGGTGTGGACTGACTCGGTCTCCAGAGCAGAAAACCCGCTTGCTGCATCTATATAGTGACCCCAGTCTTCAGTTCAGCTCTGGGACTTGAATACTTCACCCTAGCCAGCTTTCCCCTACCCACCCCACCTTCTCCTCTCCTCACTCACCCTCCCTCCAGCCGCTCCTGCCGTCCCCTCCCTCCTCAGCCCTGCCTGCCTTTTCCCAAGTGTTTTCTGAAAGATACTTGATTTCAGCGGGAGCTGGGCTGACGGCCATGCAATATGCTTTCACTCTCTTCGTGCATGTTGGGAAAGCAGAAAGCTTCTCTAGGGATTCTGGGTAATTGGGTTAGTGGCCAGCTCACGTCAGGAAATTAAAAGGAGGCCCTGATCA